TGGAAAAAGAGAATACATTATGTTAAAAAAATGTAATGATAAACAAATTGTGTTCTGGCGGTCTAAACTCTTTAGATTTCACCTCCTTAAACGCGTCTTAAAATCAAAAGGATCAAACTTTTAAAAAAAACCCAGTTCAATTTGGAACGTTGTTGCTAACCACATCTTTAACTCATTTGGAGGACTGCACTTTCTGCTAAGATGAAATTACAATATCTCTAAATTACCGATTAAACTTTCCAACTTTCATAGTCAACTCTTATCATCTTGGTTAATGATATACTCTCGCAACTTTTCTCCCCATAAATATTTCATTTGGAACAATCAGGATATTAAATTTAAGAATAAATCATTATATATTCAAAAATGGGTTGATAGAAATATTTTACTTGTAAGTCAATTACTGAATGATGATGGTCAATTATTTTCTTATAAGGAATTTTTGTTTGTTTATGATTTTCCTGTCACTCCAAGAGAATACGCTGTAGTTTTTGATGCAATACCAGATGGAGTGAGAAGGTTATTGGTGTATGCTCCTACGGGTAGAAACTGTACTATTCCAGAACTAAATCCCGGTAGCAAATTCATCGGTAACATATGGGGCGACGGTGGCACAGGAGTTAAGTGCTCGCCCCGTAATCAGAAGGTTGCAGGTTCGAGCCCCGCTCAGTCTGTCGCTGTCGTTGTGTCCTTGGGCAAGACCCACGTTGCCTGCTGGTGGTGGTCGGAGGGACTGGTGGCGCCAGTGCTCGGCAGCCTCGCCTCTGTCAGTGCGCCCCAGGGCAGCTGTGGCTACATTGTAGCTCATCCCCACCAGTGTGTGAATGTGTGTGTGTGTGAATGAGTGAATGACTGATTGTGTTGTAAAGCGCCTTGGGAGGTTTCAAGAACTCTAGAAGGTGCTATATCAAATACAGGCCATTTACCATTTTTTACCATATGTCCTTTATTGAGTGATAAAGCCACAAATCCATGGACGTAATTTTGGGGGGGACAGGGGGGACTTTTTCCAAAGTCAAGTTTTGACCCCTGCACTTTTTACCATCCAAAAAAAATATTACGCTATATTAAATTGACACTGGTTGAGCTTTAGGACCAAGCGGAAAACAACCGTTTGTGTTGAAGCCGGTTTCCCATTAGAGCATTCTGCAAAGATACCCCCACCCCCCATGTCCCCCCCACTTCTAAAGTGAAAATTACGTCCATGCACAAATCAATGTATTAGACAAATCATTCAAAGAGATATTGTTTCCAAACCTGCAGCTGTATTTTACTGGAACAATATTTACAATGATATAGACTGGAAAAACACTTGGATTCTACCAAGAAAATTTATTATAACTAATAAGATAAGAGAGGTTTCTTTTAAGTTGATCCACTGATGTTATCCGGTAAAGACATATCTGGTTAAAGTTAAGAAAAATATTGATACTCTTTGTACTTTTTGCAGCAATGCAGAGGAAACAATATGTCATTTATTTTGGGAATGCACTTATACACATGTATTTTGGATTGATCTAAATAATTTTATAAACACCAAAATTAATCCCTCTTGTAAACTGAAGTTTCACCATATTCTATTTGGCCTCACATACCGATAAAATTATTTCAGGAAAAATATATGCAGCTATGGCACTTGATGTTTCGAAAGAACTATGCACAAAAATTGATAAAATATTATTTAACACGTTGGAGAGGTTACATCTCCAATCTGGTCCGGGAACGCCTTGGGGTCCTGCCGGAGGAGCTGGTGGACAAGGCCGGGGAGAGGACGGCCTGGAGCTCCCTAATTGGGATGCTGCCCCCGCGACCCGGACCCGGATAAGCGGAGGAAGACGAAGACGAAGAAAAATATATATTATTAATCTTCTGATCATTTTTGCCAAATTTCACATACATTGTACAAAATTATCTCAACAGCGTCCAAACATATTTGCTTTTAAAGCCCTGTTTTCCCATTATCTGAAGAATCTTAATAACAGTACTAACTCCAAAGCGTGTAAAACACTAGAGCTGTGCCGAATGTATAATTTCACTTGATTTACTTGTTTATTTATACCGTGAGCATTTTATTTATTTATTTATTTTTATTTCAATTTTTTTCCAGTTATTTTGTTAATCTGTTTTCTCATAAAGTATATTTTGTTTAAGTATACTTGTAGTTGTATACATAACTTGTTATTACAAGGTGTGGAATTTTTATACCCTTTCTATATTCTACAATACCATGTATGTTTGTTATTCAAATGTCTAAATAAAAAAAATAAAAAATAAAATAAAAGTAAGGACCCGGCCTTGCTATTAATTACCTACATGTTAATACTCTAGTAATGTGTTGTGTGCGTTTAACAAGTTCATTCTGTAGCTTAAAACATACATGAAACCATCTAAAATTAACATGTAAGTCCTGAAAGCTTCTAAGATAAACAACATTACCTGAAAACGGTTCTGAACAACCCTTGCTAGACCGGCGAGGACCCGTGCTCTATATCCTACCCGTGGATTCGGACACACCCCAAGCCACGCTCACTTCCAAAGGAGAAATCCTCAGCTGGTGTTATGCCGAGGTCTGTTCTTCCCTAAAATAACGTCTTCTTTACATGTTTAGCTTTGTTCTTCTCCTAAATATTTATAATAAGAGCTGCAAGTTGTAAAGAAAATTACTACAAATATTACTGTACATAATTTCAAAGTTCCTTTCGTCAACTTTGGTACAAGAAACACATTTTGATGGGCGCAAAATTGCCTGTTAACAAAATGATTTCTCTGTAATTAATAAGAAAATAAGCTTACATATATGTCCAATTCATACAGCCAACTCATTACCCATCAACAGTTACCCATCCTGACGCTTTTCTTGGAACATTTGTCCAAGTTAGCTGGGGGTAGGGAGACTTTCGAAGGAGGGACACATCTCGGCGAAACACCAACGTTGAAGTGACGCAAACGCGTACAGGGCGGGTCAAAGGCTGGTGATCATTTACAAACTGGGCAAACTTTTTCCCCACAACTGAAGTAAAGTAAGCTGATCAAGGGGGTAGCTGGCTTGTGAAGGAGGGAGAAGCGAGGAAACAGCCGCGCATTCTGTTAAGATTTACGTAGTTCCTATTTTTTAGTCTCCTCTAATGAAGAACATCTTAGGTTTTATAAACGAGTTAAGGCTGTTTGACTTTTATTAGTGGAGACCCTGTTACAGTACCGAGATTCCTTTGAGGAAGAGAACCACTCGGCAGATTTTGGTAAGTTACCTCCTCGCTTTTACACAGGAACAAGCTGCGGTGTTAAACCAAGCTCGGGTTTAACGTCCCAACATCAAAGTGTGTTTAGCTGAAAAGGCATGTTAAAGTTTTGAGCGGTTAATGCGCGTGTTTAACATTTCTGGATTAACGGGATTTGCGAGTTTTTTTTTTTTTTCCTTTCTCAACCCGGTTCCCTCTGAAACGTTCAGGTAGTCTTCCTTGTACGCTTTACTGATGTCCAGCCTTTACAGTATAAAAATAAAGGTTTAGAGTTCTTAACCGCTACTTTACGGATGATCCGCGCCAAGCATTTCAAAAACAGTTTACCTGCGCGCGGGACATTCTTCACTTCCGCTACGCTGGCTAACGCCGCATTCCTATTGGCTGCTTCAGGCAAAAGGGACGGGCCTGTCCGTCCGTTGGGCCCGTCGATTCGATGGAGTGGATGTCAGTTACCGCCAATAGTAGTCTGCTTTTTTGGTTCGTTTAAAACTTGTTTTTTTACATTAGTTTGACCAGCTAAACCAACAAGACTGTAAGTTAGTTATGGGCAGGTTTAACCCATGGCTTCGTGTCCAGTAAACGTTATTTATTAGACGGTAAAGCTGTCCTGGGTGCCCCATGTGTTTAGGGACTTTCATTCATGGGTGACTTGTACTGTATTTTAACTATTTTTGTTTTTAGTCTCATCAAATATTTACCTGTAGGCATGTTAATTTTTCATTTAATAGTTTTATATTTAATGAAAAATTAACATGCAGGCTCTGTGCAAATATACTAGACAAATATGAAACATTTAAATGAAATTATATAGAAATCACTTCTCTGTAAGTCATACGTGTAATATTATTGTACTTGAAAGTTATCAAATATTCAAATGCATTAGAAAATTACTTTGTTTTTAAATTTGTAGAAAAGTTTAGATTTATTTTATTGACTTGATCTGCAAGACAGTCTGGACTTTCTTTTTTTTAACTACTGTTCTTGTTCTCTTTTGCACCAGGATGATGAAGCTCAGTCATCGGTACATCCTTTAAAATTTAAAGCTGGTGTGTGCAGTTTTAGGAGCAGCTCACAATGGGACCATTCACAACTCCTAAAAAGGGAAGGGAAGTAGCTTCTGTCGATCCCTGGACGCCAACCTCCAACCTTAAAATGCTCATCAGTGCTGCCAGTCCTGAGATCAGGAACAGAGAAATGGAGCAGAGTGTGGAAACTGATGAGCATGATGCTCTTGAGCCTTCACAGGTACACTTTCTGGATTTGACTCAATGTAAAAACCAATGAGTTCAAGGTATTTATTTATTTATTTATTTTTACCAATCGTTTATTTTTTTGTAGGACTCTGAAAATGGAGACGAGTCAGAGAAAATGATAAGCAGGAAAGACAAGAGTTTAGGGTTGCTCTGTCACAAATTTCTGGCCCGATACCCAGATTACCCAGACTCGGCCTTCAGTGACATCTGCCTCGATGATGTTGCCACGGAGCTCAGTATGTCCTCCAGCTGCTACAGAACATGTGCTCTTTTTCTGTTTTAAACGGTTGTGGTGGCTAGGTTTCTTTTCCGTAAACAATGCCGTTGATAGCTTCTGCTTCTACACAGACGTGGAGCGCCGGCGCATCTACGACATCATGAATGTGCTGGAGAGTCTTCACATGGTAAGCCGCTCGGCAAAGAACCGCTACACTTGGCACGGTCGGACCAAGTTGGCCGAGACCCTCGCCATCCTGAAGCAGGTGGGCGAGGAACACAGGTACAGCCAGCAGATGCAGCAGATCCGTCAGTGTGTTCTGGACAGGGAGTTTGACCTCGATGGGGAGGAGAAAGAGAACGAGGAGGTGGTCGACACGGACAGCGGGGAGCAGGCTCAGAAAGAGCTCTTCTTTGTTGAGCTCCCAGGAGTCGAGTTCAAAGCAGGTGAGACACGTAAAGATCAGTGTGAAATGTGATCAATGCTTCAGCAGAGTTAACATGCTTTTGCCTGTGGCTCCTCTGTCCAGCCTCTGTTAACAGTAGGAAGGATAAATCTCTGCGGGTGATGAGCCAGAAGTTTGTCATGCTCTTCCTGGTGTCAAATCCACGTGTGGTCAGTCTGGACATTGCTGCCAAGATCCTCATAGGAGAGGACCACGTCACAGATCAGGACAAGAGCAAGTTCAAAAGTGAGTTGACTACAATTTACAGGGTTTAGATTTATCAACACCAGGGGTCTCATTTATCAAACACTGAGTAGAATCCTTACTAAAACCGTACTTACGCTCAGCAAAAAAATGTACTTGCGCCAAGTAGGTTTGTGATCTATCCAACATGGAGTACGCACGGCTGCACGCAATCTCCGCTTCATAAATCAGAGACTAACGAGTAAGGTTCTCAGCTGCTTTTTAGTCACGTCCCGCCCTCAGCACGCCCACTTACTGCCATAAATATTCAATGCGAAGTGCCTTGTGGATCTCATGCATATACATAAGTCGGCTGTTGCAGCGCTTCGTAGGGCTGTAGCGAAGCCTCGACGAAGTCGACGGCTCGATTCTAAAAATTTGTCGACGTCAGATCCGGAAGTCGACGCACCGCGCCCACTTGTTGCATCCCCAGGAGTTTGTAAATAGAGGAGGAATCTGCCTGTTTTTCCTCTAGTTCGCCCTCTTCTCCGCCTTCACTAACATCTCCGCCAAATACCGAAGACCCGGAACAATGTCCGTCCACTACTAGATTATTTTCCTGTTTTGCCCCTTCGTCTCCCGGCAACGGACAAACACTTCCGGGGTCAGATGCGCTGCTTCGTGTCTATCGCAGATGTAGAAAATCACCGGGAGCGCTTCTCCCTTCATCAAGGAGCTTCTTTCAGACATTAGGAGAGCTGTTTTGGTGGTAGCAGTCTCTCCTCCGTGCTGGTCTGTTTGCTGCTGGTTGTTTTTGGTTTATTTAAACTTGGTAACTTGAACTTAATGTTGGTAAAGCTACTGTTAGCATCTTCGCTAACAGCTTCTTGCGTTGGGATAAGCTGTTATGTTTTGGTTTAGAGTTCATCTTTTTTGTGGTGCAGATCTCCCTTTTATTACATTTAGAGTGTTGTGGGTTTTCGGTTTAGTGTAAAATACCACCTGAGTTTGGTTTAACCCGTAAGACCACTCGCCTCACGCACATAAGTGACCAAAACAAAGCAGCATGGAGACACTCCATCTTCTACCACCTCTCAGGCAGCAGCCTGCACTCCCAAGTTCTACATGTCACCAGAACATAACCAACTGCAACACAATAAAAGCAGTGTTATACAAAATGGAAGGCCTGTAATGTTTATTCTCTTACAGTAAGAATTTATCAATTTTTTTGAGGAATTTATTTGAGATTTTCTGGTTTTTGTTAATTGTGCAATAGAAAAATAATCATTAGATTAATTTTCTAAATAGTCATTAGAATAGTCGACTATTCGATAAAATAATCGTCAGAATAATCGTTTTAAAAATAATCGTTTACCCCCAGCCCTAGCGCTTCGCCAATGACATGGCGACCGTAGATTAAGGCAGCTCAAGGAAGTGCAATTTCACAGAAGCAGAAATTGAGGTATTTGTGGGTGAGGTGGTGAAATGAAAGGAAGTGCTTTTTGGAGGTCACATTAGTGGCATAACAAATAAGAGAAAATGCACGGAGTGGCACAGCGTTGCTGAAGCTGTCAATGTTGAGTTCTTCAGAGAGATCTGTGGCCGATATAAAAAAAAAAAAAGATCCGATCAGGATTGGATCCCCAGACTCCCGGGTGAGAGTCATGCGTGCTAACCAGTCAGCCAAACAGAGATCTCCCTTGTCCAAGTAGCCAGGGCGCATCATTAATCAGGTCACAGTGACAGAATGTCATGCAGTGTGAGCGTCCTGTCTCAATCTGCCCCCCTGCTGATATTCAGTAGGGCTGTCACGGTAACCGCAAAAACGAAATATCGCAATATGAAGAAACCCACCGCGCTGCATCATGGGCCACCGCGATTACTGAACTTGGTTCAACTCAATGATGCATGTTGAGAAGGATGGCTGCACTGGTATCAAAACGAAACGTTACTTCGCTCCTTTGGGAGCACTTTGGTTTTCAGTACGTCAGCTGCTGGCAGCCAGGGTCCTTGGCCGAGACAGAGCTGCCACCAGCGGCAAAAATAAATAAATAAATGCTCGGAGACCTGCTGAAGTCCCGGACAAGCACTGCTTCTGCAACCGTCCCGAAGAGAGTTTGAGCCGAGCTGGAGCTCACTCGCTACCTGCAGGAGGAATGCATTCACCCTTAAGAACCCCCCTGACATGTTGGAGCAACAACCGGGAAAGATTCCCTTTGCTCGCCAGAGTCGCACTCAAGTACGTGTGTGTTAGTGCAACGAGCGCACCATCCGAGAGGGTTTTCAGTGTTGCTGGAAATGTTGCCACCCCTCTCAGATCCTCTCTCAAACCGTATATGGTTAACATGCTGGTTTTCCTTGTAGGTAACAAGGACGTGACCGAGCTATAAATCACCGTCATTCGTGTGTGTGTGAAAGTGAAATGATAGTGCGCCCGCCCGGTACATGTAATTTTTTATGCTTGATTTTAAACAACTAAACAAAATGGGGACTTGTTTCTTATTTGTTAGATGCTGCAGCCAAATTTGCATTTAAAAGTTTAACCTTCTCCTGAATTTTGTTGTTTTTAAGTTCAGTCGGACTCCAACTGTCGAAGAAACAAACGTTACTGCGATCTGTGTTGTTACTGCCCTTTGATCTGCATTCAGTAAAGTGTTATAAAAGAAGGCACGGCAATTTTTAACTTTTTAAATGTGTAAACATTATGTTTAGATAGTACTGCAATAAAAAAAAAGTGCTGCTATAATATTGCACACCGCAATATTAAGCCACCCTGAATCACCGCAGGGGGAATTCCTCAACCGCGACAGCCCTAATATTCAGCATTCTGTATTCTGCACCTCAGGCTGTGTGTGTTTGCGTGTGTGCATGTGTAGGGGGCTTGTTCTGTGTGTACAAAGCGGTACAAGCAATAATGCTGCTGGATTTCATAATTGTATCCTCAGCAGCAGCACTGCAGGTGCTCTCCACGTCCAAAATGTGCGTAAGCAAGGTCCTTAGTCAACTTAAAGTTGTGCACATTTTTCTGCTTAGTTTTCTTTCATAAATCCCAAAGTTTGCGTGGAAAGTTGCTTACGCAGTTATCTGACCCCATTTTGTGCGTAAGCAAGCTTGATAAATGAGGCCCCAGGTCTTTAGCCTTTGAGCGGCTTTTCCTGGACCATTCGTTTGTCTTAACCGTGTGTGATGGTGGTAGTTTCTCTTCTAAATTGTGCATGTGCAGCTAAAGTTCGCCGATTGTACGACATTGCCAACGTGCTGCGGAGCCTGAAGCTCATAGAAAAAGTCCATGTGACCGAAGAAAGGGGGCGGAAGCCGGCCTTTGAGTGGATCGGCCCTGAGGAGTTCCCACAAGTTAAAGGTGCATTCAGGGTCTAAGCTCGTGTTTTTTTTTTCTTCAAAGAGATTCTCTTAAACAAAAGTTGCAATAATCTCCTAAACTCTATTCAGACTTGCCAAACCGCTTGGGGGATTGCCCACCCAAGAAAAAAAGAGTCCTGGAGTCTGTAGACAACTGTGCCAAAAACCTGTTTTCCTCACCGGGAGCCAAGCGCAGCTTCACCCGACACCCTTCCCTCATGAAGCTCGCCAAGAGCATTCAGGAGGACCGACGCAAGATCAACTCAGCCCCCAGCAGCCCCATCAAGTGTCCTCTCAGTAAGCAGAGAACACATCCTTCACAAGACGATGGTTTGTGGAGAATAAGATAATCCAATCTTGATCTCTTCTCTCATCAGGCGACTCGTCTAACGTCGACTTTCCAAGCAAAATGGCCCAACTTGCTGCTATTTGTCAGATTGAACTTGATCAGCGGTCAATGTAAGTTCCGAGTTCCCTTTCAGTTGTCTGAGTTTGGGGAGGGGCCTTGTGTTCCAACCTGTCGGCCTGTGAAGCTCTCTGAATAAATTAAGTTTAAAAACACTGATTATTCTGACCGGATTGATGAGCTAACAGCTAGTCTTAGTGGAGTTGAATTCTGTTTTTCAAACTTGACACTGCTATGAATGCCACATTTTACTGATATGTACATAAAATTATATAATATCTCTTGATGTCTCTGTCCAGACCCACAGAAACTCCTAAACCTGCTGCTACTCGGGGAGACTCTCCTGCTGAGACGTTACAACAAACAACCTCTGCTTCCGTGGAACAACCGAAGACGCCTCAGCTAATTCCAACTCTAGAGCCTGGAGTCAACACTATCCACCTCACCCCCCAAGCACTATTAGCAGGACACCCCACAGGCCCTGTTACCCTCATCCCTGCACAGTGTTCCTCCTTGATTCCCGTCCTGCTGCCTCAGCAACGGGGGGGCGGGCCCTATGCCGTCTATGTGCACCCTCCCTCTCTCAGGTCAAACCCTCTGTCCAGGCCACAGCCGACGAGCCTCGCTGTGCGCTCAATGACGTTTGAGGAGAAGACTGGACAAAGTCCAACCGGCCCGTCTGCAGCTAAGAACCAGGCGGCTGAGGTTTGTCCTACGGGGCTTAAGCGACGGTGTTCAGACGCTACATCAGAAAGTAGTCCCTCTAAAGCAAGGAGATCCGGCTCCACCTTTAAGGTAAAGAAAACTGGGCTTTGAAATGAGAATGTTAGTCGTGTTTCCATTGGAGTTCTGGGAGGGGAAACAGGGTATCCGCGGGTCCTTAAAAAGTCTTAAATTAGCTTTTCCAAATTTAAGGCCTTAAAAATCCTTAAAAATGACAAATAATCCTTAAATGCAGTTTCCAAAGGTCTTAAATGACCAAAGACCCAATAAACAAGATATTTTTATTTCTATAAAATTTTTGTGAATTTCTAGTTAGTGTTCAGCATTTTATGTGTGTCATATTTGCATACGCGGAACTGTACACATTCAGTTGGTTGTGAAAGGGGGCTGTTTTTAGATGAGCACATTAGCTGGTTAAGCTAGTGGGAGCTTGCGCCATGGGGAAGTGCAAGTTTAATGGTAACTGGATGGCTAATCCCATGTTCACGACATGGTTAGCACCGGTTCCAGGCAATAGCTGGAAATTATTAGCTTAAATGAAATTTTTAAAAATTGCTTAAATTTGGTCAAAGTGGCCTTAAAAAGGTCTTAAAAAGTCTTAAATTTGGCTCCCTTAAACCTGCAGATACCCTGGGACAGGTGACTGGTAGATACAATGGCTCTGTCCTCTCAGCTGTTGTGTCTCCATACGAATTCATGACTGCTTAAGCAATGAGTGATGTCACTGGTCAGAGCCGAAAGGCGTCCATAAACAATAATATCAAAAGTTTTAATTCTGTCAAAGTACGTCATATGTGAGTTGGTTGACAGGAAGTGCAACTGTGTGTTGTAAAATGTGGCGTTTGATGACCAGAAGAAGTGGCGTTTTTACGGTTCTGTGAGAAAACAAAGCCCCGTGAATTTGAAACTGTTTATTTTCTTCTCCTTTTATTCTGCTTCACCAGCAACTCTTCCAGTTTTATGAATGCCGGTTGTTTTGGCAACGGATGCTGATGTCATTTCCTACTGTTACAACCAATCAGCATGAGTAAAGTCCCACTCGGTGACTTTACTGGACCTTTTCGAGTACCAGCCTGTGTTCGTTTAGTCGGTTGGTTCCAGAATGTGGTTCTTTCACGCGTAGAGCCCTGCACTGAAGCCCTAGATCCTCGGGTCGGCCCGGGCTTCGGGCCAACGACTGTGTAATTACCTCGGGCCGGGCCGGTGCCTTTATTTTTAATCAAATTCATTTAAAAAATTGAAACAAACGCAGCAGTAGAGCCCTGCGTGGGACTGTTTTCTTCATCCCGCTCCCGCTGAATGTCTGACCATTACCGCCCGCACCCGCAGCGTGCATGTCTACTCCCGCCCGCACCCTCAAAACTCGGAGAAATTATTGCCTCAGAATAAAAGAGATGTATGAGTTTGCGTCCTCAACATGTCATTTTATAGGCTATACAGGGGTCGGCAACCCGTGGCTCTTCCATCCATCTGATGCGGCTCTCTGTGCTTGTAAAATAATGAATGGATATTTAAATAAAATGCTTTATATTTTACTGAATTAATTTTATATCTGTATGTCAATTCTAAATGTAAAGATTGTCTGCGTAAACCTGAACAGGTCCAACCCGGTCTTACTGTGAGACCAGGTTGGGTCACGCTTGTGCGTAATCATAGGCGCTTTCTGAGCTGAAGAGATTCTGGGCTTCTCCTCAGACGGCTCCTGGATGTGTCGCCACATTGGCGACAGGAACAAGCGCTATTCAGCCAAAGTTTCATAATCAGGGAACATTTTTCTAAGTCTCTGAGAGACAGGGTTTGGAAAACACTCGCTTCAGTGCGAGGAACCTTCCCGCATGCGCTCTGGTTCTGCAACGCGCTCCAAGCCAATCTCCACATCTTCAGCTCGCTGTGCACCATACATATGCGCTGACAGCGAGCTGCGCTGAGCGGTGTCCAGCTCAGATGTTCAGATGGGAATCTTTTCTTGGGTGATTTAGCTACATCTGCGATGTGCGTAACAAATAAAATGTCAGTTCGTCTGCATGCGTCGGGGTAATTCTTTCTATTCTTCAACCAAAATAAACTGTCAAATACGGGAACTATCCGGTCAACACAACACAAGCCCTGCTTTTGACTGTTCTGTTTTCTTGTGAAAATTGTTGGAAAGAGATCAAATTTAACTTGATTACCACCAGAGTCAGGCGCACTGCGCCGTTATCTCCGTGATTGTAAACGAGGGAAAAACAAATTGATCGGATCCTGCACGTCTTTTAACACATTGGCCAGGATTGACACACTTTGTTTTCATTTAGTTGGTTAAAAAAAAGTTGGGCTCAGGTCGGGCCAGAGAATCCTGAAAACCTTTTTGGGCTGGGGATCCATCCCCTCGGGCCGGGCCGGACACGGGCTCAGATTTTAGGCCCGTGCAGGGCTCTATTCACGCGGCCATTCCGGTTGAATGACGCTGAAGTTCCTATAGTGGAACCACAACTATTGAAACAACTGTTACCATGTGACATTTACAAATTAGACAAACATTTTTCCCCCTACAACTGTAGGACTCGTCTCCAAAGCTCTGTGAGATCCTGCAGGCCCGTCTGAAAACACGTCGAGGGACTCCGCTCACCAGTCGGCCTTCACCTCGTGCGCTCCACCTGGATCCAGAGTTCGTTAACACCCCTGAGAGCTCTGGAGCCAGTCAGGCCCTGGAGCACAGTTTGGAGAACCTCCTGGACAGGGAGGACAGGACGGCCAACTCGGACAGCGAAGTGGGTTTCACATCTGTTCGGGTGTTGCCCTTAACGTCTGGACAGCTTCGCACTGAGGTAAACACCAACATGTAGCCTTATGGGAAGATAACCCTCGTTCTGTTCTTTGAATCATTAACTGTTTGTGTTTTCTGCGTCTCACTGCCTGTCCAGACTTTAGTCCCAGCTGGATATCTGATCCCCATTTCCCAGCAGTCCCTCATCAGTTACAAGGAAGTGCAGAGTACAGGAGTAGAGAGCAGCAAGACATCTCCCAACTACATCTACCAAACTCCAACTTCAGGTAAAAGCCTCACAATCCGGTTCTGACTAACTACATCAGGGACAGGAACACACACTTGAGATGCATTTCCTCTTCCACAGGCCCCAGACCTGCCACAGCGCAGGAGGTGACGCCCACCAACCTCCATCTAAATAAACCCTCTGCTGCCTCTCCACACGCCACCCAGCAGCCCCACCGTCTCCACAGCCCGAGTCCTGCTATCCTGAACTTCACCCTGCAGAACCTGGGTCTGATCTCCAGTCCCTGTGGCAGCTTCACAGCCCCACACACTCCAGAGCGCACCAGCGCCTTCCCAAGTCCGCTGACTCTGCAGCAGAGAGAGATGGTGTTCATCAAACCCGTGTCTCCGATGGCTGTTCAGCACACGGTGCCGGCGCAGCCTGTGACCCTGATCAGTGTGCAGCAGGTACGAGTCAGTACAAGCGTCTAGTGGGCGCTTCCTGACTGTTTCATTAATCTGTTTCAGTCCATCCAATCATTTCTTTACTAACCGTTAATAGCAAAGCTCTCTCTCTCGCTCTCTCTCTCTTTCTCTCTCTGTCTCTGTCTCTCTGTCTCTCTTTCTCTGTCTGTCTCTTTCTCTCTGTCTCTCTCTTTCTCTCTCTGTCTCTCTTTCTCTCTCTGTCTCTCTCTTTCTCTCTCTGTCTCTCTTTCTGTCTGTCTGTCTCTCTTTCTCTCGCTCTGTCTGTCTTTCTCTCTGTCTCTCTCTCTGTCTCTTTCTCTCTCTCTCTCTCTTTCTCTCTCTCTGTCTGTCTTTCTCTCTCTCTGTCTCTCTCTGTCTCTTTCTCTCTCTGTCTCTCTTTATGTCTGCCTGTCTCTCTCTTTCTCTCTCTCTGTCGCTCTCTCGTCTCTCTCTCTTTCTCTCTCTCTTTCTCTCTCTCTCTCGTCCCCATAGTGAATCAGTAGTAGACGTACACACAGATGCTGGTTTGTGTATAATCATATTATAAGGTGGACTTTAAATCTGTTGTTTGTTTTTAATTTGTCGTCCAGTCTCTGATGACCACCCCTAAAGGGAGCGGGCTCCCCCAGCACAGCTTCTTTCACACGCCGGTCCCCCTCTCGCCTCTGGCTGCCGTGGTAACCAACAATGGACAACAAGCTACCAAAGCTGTTAACATCCCCCAGAGGAAGCTGGACGTGTCCCCTGATGACTCCTGATCTGTAGAGGGGTGGGGCTTGTTCTTAGTGGTGAATGGGTGTGTTTTTGTTACTCTGGTCTGTTTAACAGTTTCCAGTATTCATGAGCTCTGAAACATTTCCCAGCATCCTGATGGAGGTGGTTGTTATCACAGCCATCTCTGACTTTGGCTCAGGACCAGAGGCATTATGGGAAATGGCACGAACGCTACTATAGCGCTCTGTGCGATCCGATGGATTTCCCAGGCCTCGATTAGCCTCTAGTGTTTGCACAAGATGTTTTTTATGGTCTGGATGACACAAAAGTATTTTCCTCACAGGATCAGTTAAAGCTGCGTCATCGCTTTAGTGAACGCGAGATCACTTTTGCACACGTGTACATGTTGATGCCACCCTTGAACTAAATAGTTAAACATATGTGAATATTTCATGCATTCTGGGAATATAAGTTGACATGTGATGGGTTTAATTTATAAGAGTGATTCTGTGTGATCTCCTGCTCTTTGTTAAATGTTGAATAAATTTTAATGGGATTTTTCTAAGAACATCAGATCTCTTGTTCTTTATCGGGGGCGTGTTTTATTTTAACACCCATAGTTCCCACAGCCGTGGGTACTGCAGGTGTAAGTGTATATTTACTTGATAGTTCTGACTTTCTAATGTAATTTAGAATACAATCATTCCTACTTTTGATATGTCCCTCAGCCTGAACCTAAACCTAGTAACGGCAACAACTACCATTAGTATTTGTGAAAACTGGTGACGAGTCTCGCGTCACCGTGGAGAACTTTAGTCCCACGCTGCTTTAGAGAACTGTTTCAGTGCGTTTACATGCAGCCAGTAAGCCTTTTAAAACACGAATATTCACAATCGGACACGTTGAGGGGGTTTCCATCAAGAACGTCCTGTTTAGGGTCAAAGGTCAGACATTCTCCTTCAGGTAGAGAGCAGAATTCATTGTTCTGTCAGTCAGCAGGTGGTCCAGGTCCTGAAAGAGACCCAGACCACCACACCACCACCTCCGTGTATGCAGTGCTAGTTTTACAGCAGTACGGGACACTTCCTGGAGATCATCAGGAGGTTTTCTGGCAAAAGTGAGACAAGTCAGCATCATATCTTCCATGGAACCATTTTCTGCTGCCTTTTTCTTACTGTTGAGTCATGACCGCTGACCTTAACTTCAACTGTGTGAGGCCTGCTTTTCTCCAGATGTTCTTGCGGGTTCTTTGTTCTTGAATCTCATCAGTACAGAGCGTCACATTTGAGATCTTTTAGCCTACCTCATGATGTCAGACGGCTTGTTGAATTGATTGATTTTTGCAGGTCTGGGTTTCACTGGTGAGATGGAGGTCAGCATTCCAAATAATCACAGTTAGTCTGAGATTTAAATTTACAACCTGGTTGGTTCTGAGCTCTTTTCCTCATAATTTAAATGATTAGAAAACAGTGTTTAGTATTTATTCAGGTTACCTTTTTTGTTGATCTGATGCATTTAAATGCGACATTGATTCTATTTTTTATCAATCTTCACATTTTGTACCAACAAAAACAAGCAGCTTGACCCTGAATCCGAACGGCTGTTGTCTCACCTGATGCAGATATCTATGAACAACAGCTTTCTTTAGACGTTTCATGCGTCCAAAGTAATATCTGTTTCTTGGTGCTCAGACCTGCTGTGTCGATTCCAGAACAATCCTGTCAGACCGCACACCGATGCTTTGTGCTGCAGCTGTCAGAGGAATGAGTCTAGAACAAATGCTGGAGCGTCTGATGTTCTGGTCTCTTTCAGCTGATGATAAAGGGTCAAAGGACTCTGACAGTTATTTTTGGAGGAGGCGTCACCGTGATGATGAGGAGGAGGAGATGAAGAGTATTTAAACCATCTAGGAGAGTTATCCGTTGCTTTAGAAGGGAGGTGCACACGACTGGACTCGAGGTGAGACCCTTTAGTTGTTAAAGCTGTGAAATGTCTTGATTCTTATTGGCTGAAGACATTTAGTTTTAGCTGTCATGCCTTTTTTCCCCCAAATGTCACATGCCAGTCCTGTGAGGTATGCTCGGATAGGAGCGGGGACTGGAATGTGACACAGGCCAGTGAGGTTTACACCCACTTCTTCAGTTTTAGGTGATCAGTCATCAGGAATGAAATGGGAAATCTTTTGGTCTTCTGTGATTTATTACTGCAATACATGGAAGTTAAAGCCACAAAATTAGTAAGATGTGGGCCAAGTTTACAGTATTTGATATCTTTCGAATGGAAAATAATTCTAGATAAATCTAGATCTTGTGACTCTTTAAACCTTCAATCAAAAATGTTCCACGGTTTTATGAAATAGTGAAAAAAACTCATTTTACTAAACTGGCGTGTTTGTCAGAGTAACAGAAACATGAATAACAGGAATAATCATTTGACCTCCAGCCCTGTGTTCTGAAGAGGAAACCACGAGTCCACGTGGATCTGTACGATGCCGACTTGGGGAGGAGGATCCAGGTGTTCAGCCTGCGAGAAGACGGTGTACCACGCAGAGGAGGTCCAGTGTAACGGACGCAGTTTCCACAAGACCTGTTTCATCTGCAGTGAGCATCCTGGTTCCTTCTGCTGGGCCCACCGAGACCTCCTGGTGGAGGAGAAACCTGGGTCTAGCCTGTGCTTTAATTATGTCATTCCTTATTGCCCGCTCCTTTCCCCTGAGAGTGTCTCTGAGCACAGATCCAGATGTATCTCTTACCTTTTGCTCTTTAGATTATTTTTGTTCTTTTAGGACATTGGACGTTAAGCTCTCCTCCAAACTGGCTAAATATTTGAATTTCTGCTGCTGCATCCTGTAATGCAGCTTCAGATCTTTTAGTCATATAATCCAGACTCCCACCAGCGCTGCAGGAACCGACCTGCTGACCCCACTCTGCAGCTTGTTGCAGTCTGTGCGGTGGATACTTTGTTCCAGTGGGAGCTCTGTGATAAACTCATCCCACCTGCTAAGAGTTCATCTTCTCTCCAACATTCCCTTCACACATCCATCTCCTTCCACAAATAGCAACACAGCCATGTGACTTAGTGCTGACTGATAAAAGCAGCTAGGTGGGAGCTTTATTTAACCTTCATCCCTCCAACAGGACATTCCTCAGTTTGGCCAAACTGGAGACATTTAATTTAAACTGGTTTTACATAAATTATTGTTTGATTTTCCTTTAGTGAGCTGCAGGAAAGGGCTCGACAGCACTACGGTTGCAGCACACGAGTCTGAGATTTACTGCAAGTCATGCTATGGCAAGAAATATGGGCCAAAAGGCTATGGATATGGACAAGGAGCGGGAGCTCTGAGTTCTGATCCTCCTGGACAGGATGCAGACCCACAGTCTCATGAGTACGTGTTTGAGAAGGCCGCCTAGTCAAGGACTCATTCCTCTAGACAGCCCAACATACACAAATGACACATCAAAGCACATTTTGACATCCCTTCATTTTGAATTTATAAACTTAAACTTTTTAGGTCTAAACCTCGATCGGCCTCTTCAAACCCCAACAAGTTCTCCCAGAAGTTTGGAGGCTCGGACCGCTGCCCTCGCTGCTCCAAGGCTGTCTACGCAGCAGAGAAGGTGATGGGAGCAGGAAAGGTAACAGCCATCCCTCTCTGAACATGTTGGTGTACGCACTTGTGATAAACTCTGGTGTCATTGCCAAACTTCCTTGAAGAGTTCATATCACCTGTTTTAGCAGCTCTACACTGGCTCCCAGTTCCCTGGGGTCCACGGCCCTCATTTATCAAACATTCATTGAGACGGTCTTATATTCAAAATAAATGTAGAACGTATGAATGGCGGCCTTTCGTATGTTCCTCCTCAATCGTCTGATGATAAATCCCACCTGTGTCATATAAATGCCCTCAATTAACCTTATTTGGTCTTGCTAAGTCTTCAGCACCTGAGGGAATTCCCTGCCCCCCCCCCACCCCCCCACCCCCCCAAATAAAAACATTGACAGCGAGATCGAGACACTGGCTGCCAAAGTGCAAAAGAACCAAACAAGTCGCACAGGTTGTAAACGCGACTGGGACAGAGGAGAGTCTCCGTCAGGAATAAATAAAAAGTTGAATATGATAAATCGTAGAGTAACGGGCTGTCATTTACATGTTACATTTAAGGAGTTGTTCTGTTTGGAGTTAGTTAAATTTGGAAATGTCGTCTGAGTGCAGCCTCTTCTGAGCTTTCATTCAGTCGGGTTACCTTGACTACGTGGCGTGTGTGATTGGGAAGTAGAGAGGCTCTCGTAGTTGTAAAATACAATATGAACTGGAATCACATCTGAGCAGTTTCTCTGTCGCGCCACAAAGGGTCTCAAATCCCAGCATAGCTCTAAGGATGTCCTTCGGGGAGATCAGTGCGCTCACGGAGGACGCCTTCCCTCGAGTGCACGCTCTGCCAAATCCTCCAACACACAACAGCCAAGATATAATGTCCGATTCCCGTCGGTCACGTGTGTCTTTTATTGGTTTTAGCACCAATTGTGCAAAAAAGCTGTTTTTCCACCGACATTATTTATTGGGTAAAATACTTTATGGATGAGGAACGTGTGTGGACAACAGAGACCTTTAGATGCTGTTCGTATGCAGGTCAGAACTGTTCTTATATTTAGGAACATTACTATGCACGAGTACAAATCGGTAAATACCACACGTGTGTAATAATTGTTCCTACGCACAAAATACGTACAGATCTGTTAGTGACTGATAAAGGAGGGTCTCCACTTTTAGATCATTAACAGTCAAGACACCTGATTATACCATCTATACATCCACAACCCAGGACACTCTCAGATCTTCAGGCCAGTGGCTACTGGTGGTGCCCTGAACTAGGTTTAGGACCAGAGTTGATCAGGCCTTTCAAGGAGTGGCCCCCTCACTGTGGAACGTTTTACCACCGACCCTGCGCTCTCTAACCAATGTCGAGTCTTTTTATTGATCCTGTTGACTTTGATTTTAATTTTGTGTAGCTTTGTTTTTGCTTCTACATTTTATGTGTTTTATTTATTTTATGGTAAGTTTTGATTGTACTTCTATTAATCTTTCTGCTTTAACGCCTTATAAGTTTGTGTTTAATATTTACATCGTGTGTGTTTCAGGCCTGGCACAAGACCTGTTTCCGCTGTGCGCTGTGTGGTAAAAGCCTGGAGTCGACCACGGTGACGGACAAGGACGGGGAGCTTTACTGTAAAGGTACAAACAACCTGGTGAACACGCGGGTTTCTAATGACTGAGGTTGTTGGGCTGGGACCACAGCAGCAGCTGTTGATGTTTTACATTCTTCTCTAGTTTGCTACGCCAAACACTTTGGTCCGAAAGGATTTGGGCTGGGGAACGCAGCCATGTTGGAGGAACGGGAGTGAGGACGTCTGACTCAAACCCATTAATGGGAGCCGAGACTTCACCTTTGAACCCGGAGGATGTCAGTTACTTTAAATCTTGTTTTAAAACGACCACATGGGGAAAAAAAAAACACAGAATAAAATCCATTTGTTACAACAAAAATACATTCTGAAGTGTTTTCTAGAAAGGTGCAAAATGACATAAACCTTGCTTTATTCCGTGTGGAAAGATTATGATAAGTGATCCATACTTACATGTTTCATTGTAAGAGGCTTTACACAGGGCAACATTCATCCATTCACACACACGCTGATGGAGATGAGCTACATTGTAGCCACAACTGGACACTCAGACATAAGTGCAGCTGCTGGTCCCTCTGACCACCATCAACAGGTAAAGGGGGTTAAGTGTCTTGCCCGAGGACACAACACAGCCCACTCTTCCTCCTGAGCTACTGCTGAACTCAATACTCTCAATAGAGATAAGTAAAGTCTTCTCTTAACTTTGATTATTAAAGAGCGACAATAAAAATGATTAGGAGAGATGTGTGTAAAAGCAGACAGGCACAAGATTGCTTTATTGAAGTATTATAGTGGTCATTTGTTATTAAACACATGCAGCTTTTACAAAAGTCATAAAACAAAGTGTTCACATGTACAAATATTCTCATTTTCCTCAAACCAGGTGATTAAAAACTTCCATCAACACCTTCGGTCCTCAAAGGTTCTGATTCCCTTTAGCTGGTCGAGTTTAAAGGCCATAGCAGTTTGTACAGAGATCGGCTCAAACAAACAATATCCACATGCTCGTTTTGTTCTTCTGTGGTTTTACTGTAAACGGAGCCAACAGGTGGAAAATAAATAAATACATTCTGTGCTTTTGGTCCAGAACCAGAATCTGACCCTGAGTGTTTGAAGGAGAGGAGGTCAGACCATGTGGGTTTGGTCAAACAGGTACTGGTCCCGGTGGGGCTGGAACTGACTGGTCCAGTCGGTGACGGTGGGTTTGAAGAGGCCACAGCACCGCAACTGGAAAAACGATACCAGGTTCTGCACCACGCCCAAACTGCAAACAGATCAGGGTCAACAACACCTTTCTTCTTAAACATGACGCAACAACGAGTGATGCTGCCACAGCAGAACCACTGGACTCTCCCGTTTTTCTTATGCTTTCATCAAGGGGAGTGAGGGTTTGACATCAGCCTCTTTAATCATAAACAGGTATGATCTGGTTTTATTTGTGGCCAAACAAATCAGTGCTAATGTGATGCTCAGTACTGTAACAGATTGTCTCAACAACGCGAAAGCTACATCTGAATAAAGAAAACTTTTAATACTCCTGGTTTACTGTGCAGCTTTCAGCAAAGACTCAGCTAGGAACTACTGAAGCAAACCACAGACACCTTCAGTTTTTACAACAACTAATAATTAGTCTTCACAGTAAAGTGAATTTAAAAACAACCATGTGACTCACTTAAAGGGATTCTGCCTCATGGACACAGGTTGTCTTAGTTTCCTTTGCTGGAGTAGCAGAGTTGCTCGTTCTGCTGTGGTTAACCCTAGGAATGAAATCTGCTCCAACACACAAAAACAAAACAAGTCATTATTGTTTTTATCTTTTGTTTTGGAACTATCTTAGCTGCTGCTTTGGCCAGACTCCTTTGCAAAAGAGATTTTAAATCTTGGTGAGCTTTTTCCTGGTAAAATATAAGGCAATTATTAAAAATTATGTACCGGAAAAACAGCCCGATGCTGCTGAAAACTAAACCAGATGAACAGGTTTGACACGTCTCACCACTTTCGGCCTAAACGGACGTTTTGGTAACGTTTCTAAAAACACCCATGAATAAATAAATGTAAATATGTCCATTACTAAAGGTGTGGTTCACTGAAAAAACATTTTTACTGATTATTTCTGATTATAATCAGTCACTAAGGTTTTCATGCAGGCTGCACATGGAAAATAGTCTCCAACGCCCATCTCCTGCATTAGCTTCTGATAGAAAATTGATGGTGAAACGCTAGGATTAGAAAAGCCTGACAAATCTACATCACACTGTACCTAACATTCATAGACTCACGATGAGGAAGGCTGTTGTTGGTTTAGCATCCAGGACACAGCAGAGAACGTCTCGACTAGTAGAAGCTAACTGTTAGCATTAGCAACTCCACAACAAGGCAGAACTCCTTCAGGCTTGTGTAAATCCTCAACGTTCCAAAGTAAATGGAGTCAGTGGTAGAGTCACGTTGCCATTAGCCAATCAGAGGTGAGATGTCCAAATATCATGAAGTAAGACTCCAAATCCTGTTGTCTGAAGCTCTCCTGTGACCTGGCTAACTTCTAGATATCGAAAAAGGCGCACAGCAGCTTTTTGTACTCAATGAACAACTTACAAGGCATCCATTCCTACTAGAGACTACTGCAAACGTATTGATTAAACAAGTGAACCACACCTTTAATGGGTACTGTAGAAAGCCTATTTTTACAAAACAAAACCTTTGACTTTAACTGGTTCATCCAAACTGAATGTTTTACTTTTACACTGAAAAGCTACTAACTGTATTTGGTTAATAGAATTTCAGACAACTGCAGCTGTAAAGGCTTTCGAAGATAGAAAACAAAAAATCAACACATTTTAAATCACCTGGTAGAGCTGCAGCAGCAGGGCCACACCAGACCAGCAGGTATGATACAAGGACAGCAGGAAGACGCTGAGCACCCAGGGGGAGCAGCCAACCAGGGCGGAGATGAACCCCCACAGGCCCTGTTCCTTGTAATGCAGATTACAGTGAATGGACCAGTCTAGGAAAACCAAACAACAAGAACCTATTAATTATAAAGGTCAGCCAGATTCAGAGGTTAGGCTATGGTCCAGTCACTCACACATCAGACAGCCGTAGAGCATCCAGGACCCCATCAGCATCAAGGAGAGCAGCAAGAGGACAAAGTAGCAATGGTTCCTGGCACCTGAATGATGACAAACATCACTGAGTAAAGTTCAAAATCAGAAATACACAAAAATTACACCAACTTATACATTTTCTTAACTCATTCACTGCCATTGACGGCAAAAATCATTTTAAATCCAACCGTTCACTGCCAATGACTAGACGACTAAAGTCGTCATTTGCTTTTTTTTTTTTTACTGTATGGGCGTCGGAATGAGGCCCCGCACTGTGAGAACAAACATCTCAGCTCTAAACCCGATCTTCATCCGCATACGTCACACGTCACATGACCAGGAAGTAGAAAATCCATGTGTTAGGAGATCGTTTTGGGCCGCCGCTGTAAAAAGAAGTGAGGCGCTAACCGGAAAAGCTTCTGCCGATCCCAATTCGACAACGGATTACGAAAGAATGGATAATGCTTGAAACGCGCAGATTCTTCCTGATGTAAGAGGTGAGTCTCCGCTTTGTTTTGTTAGTTTTGGCGTTGACATTATCCTAGCGCGCAACGTTCTGTAACTCTTAAAAAAAGTGAAAATGCTGAAAAACGCTGGCAGCGAAGGACTTTACTGATCAGGAAACGGCTGGCCGCAAATGAGTTAAAGGAATAGATTTGATGTTAATCTTTTAAATATTAGGGTTGTATAAACCAATTAATAAGAGTGTAGCTTAGACATCTGGACCAACAGTAGCAGTGGCTAAAGACTTTGCTCTGCAGGTGGGTCTAGCCATGCTCCATTGTAGCCTCTGCAGGTCTACCATTGGTCTGAACTGCTTAGTTCTGGCCAATCACAGTGCTCAGTTTGGGCGGGCTTAGCACCAGAGCTGCGATGGAGAAAAACCAGGAATGATCCGATCAGGATTTTTGCTGCCGGTCACAGATACCAATCCAGTGTTTTCGTTAACTAGGACGATGACTAGATTATTTTGTTGATGCTCCTTTTTCTTCATAATGAAAATGAGACACTCATTAGCTAGAAATAGGTCATTGGTGACTAAAACATGACAGCAAACACAAGTTTAGATTCTGAGCATAATTTTTGCCCAATCTTGCCAGCATCTTATTTTCATTGAGAAAAAGCGAAGTCAACAAAATAATTTAGTCATCAGCAACAAAAAAACGTGCTTCAATAGTGTAAGACAAACTTCCCCATTTGACTGATTTCCATAGTGATGAACACGTCTGTTGCTCTGATTGGTCCTAGTGCAGTCCAGTTGCATGCAGACACGGTTTGAATGACATCTGTAGATTCCACCTCTGGCTATGGGTCGTGGCCAGACTACATGTACAGGATAACTTACCAGGCTAGTTAAGGGACACTTTATACAGACAGTCATAGGTTTCATATGAAACACTCAGAATAAAATAGAAACAATGTAAATCTACTAAACATTCTGACATCCTACAACAACGTTCCACTAGCCAACTGCACATTTCTACCCCTAACCCTTCATAGGTTTAAGGTCAGCCCAACGTTAGAGCCAGCCTCACCGATGCAGGTGTTGGTCCAGATGGAGTGGTGGTCCTGCTTTGCTACACAAGCATCACAGCTGAAGCAGTGAGTCGCTCTCACTGGTTTCCTTATCTGTCAATGATAATTATTATTATATCAGCACTGTTAAGGGCCCAGTGATAGTTTTGTGTGATTTTCTCACCATACAAGATGTGCAAAATATCCTGGGGTCCAGACAGCCAGCCTCAGCCAACACCACCACATTCTGGAACAACAGACAGGATATTTTATCTCTGAAAAGAACTCAAACGTCACAATAATAACTGGATGCACATTTCTAGTTTGCCCACCATTTTCTTCTTCTCTGCTGTTGCTTTGATGAAACCCGGGTCTGTTCTGCATGTGCGAAGGTAGAAGTAGAGGAGAGCGGTGGCATTCAGAGTAAACAACACCTGAAGCGTGGCGCTGGGCAGATGTGGGGTTCAAGTTAAGAAGCTTAAACGTCACGTTTAAGGGGCCAAGGAATCAATTCAAGGTGTTATTCAATATTCTTCACTTAAATGCATCAATTCTAACACGTTTCCTCACATTAAAACCTGCAGTTGTTACCAATGACAACATGTTTTAAAATGCAACAGATCTAGTTTCAAGTCCTACACAGAAAAGCTGATTCTTGACCCAGCAGTTTTACTTTTACAGTGAAAATACAGGAATGTGCCTTGCTGCTTCCCTTAGTTTGAAAGAAACCAACAGTAACCGTCTTATAAAGATGTTTTAACCCTTATGCAACCCTTTAATTTTCTAACGTTAATGTCCTTTGAGCACAAAAAAATGCACTAGGGTCGTATAAAGGTTAAGTTGTCTCCTAAAGGAAAGGATATCTGGCAGGAACCAGAGGCACCAGGTGATCAGCATCCAGCAGATCGAAGCTTTGAGAGCTGAGGATGGCAGAATAGACTGAAAGTCTGGGCCTGGGAAATTCCTGTGAGGTACAAACAATGCTTAGAAAACTAAAACAGTCTATTTGACATTAAAATTTTGTATTTACATTTAAATCTGTGTAAAGTAACAGGTCCCCACCTTGAGGCAAGATTGACGACTCCTACTAAGCAGGCCAGCAGAATCCCTTTGAGTAACCAGGACTCGGAGTTCATTTCTACGATGGCACCAAAACAACCAAACATGATGGTGCAGAGTAGGAAACCCACAAAAGCCTGGGAAAGAACACAACAGCAGAGATTTCAGCTTCTACAGATGCTTCCAGATTGCTGCTCCACGGGTGTTTTTTACCTTGTATCTGTTGACAAAGCGAAGACAGCGTGAATTAGAGCGAATCCTCTCCTGTTTGACATGGCTGAGCATGTGGATGAGCAGCGGGCTGTGTACCTGGTGGGCCAGGTCGATGGGTGTGTGACCCTGGGGACCAAACACAATGATTAAAACATCTCCAACAAACTCTGAAGTTCCTATTCTTTTAAAAACCTTGCAGACCGGGTTTAACTTGGATCAAAGCCCAGCAGAAACAGAGAAGAGTAGTTAGGGGTCACAAGGTCAAAACAAAAAACACCCAAAGGACACAAACAAATTAGAGACTAGTTTTTGAGTCAAAATATAAAAACAAATAAGTTAGTAATGCGTTTTAAAATGTGACAACAGGCTGAAACCTGCTCTTTAGGCTTTAGTAACTCACGTTGATGTTTTCGGCGTCCACGCTGGCTCCTGCCTCCAACAGGATGTGGGCAGCATCCACATTTCCTGCCAGCACAGCGCAGTGCAACGGCGTGTTCCTGTTGACTTTGTCCACAGCATTCACAGAGGCGTTGTTTTTGATAAGAAAGTTTGTCGGCTCGGGTCTGCGTCAGAAAGACAATTTACTTTTCAACTTTCAACACAGACCAATATTATTTATCCCGAATTAGGATTAAAAATAGAACAAACTCAGTCACATTCATATAAACGTTAAATCTGAGGGAACAAATAGCTACCCAATAATCTTCTGGGCTGCCAACATCAGCGGCGTCTGTCCGTTACAGTCCGGTAGATCAACTTCCTGAAAACAATAACAACACATCATCCAGTTGAAGTAGGTTTCCACATGAAAACAGATTGAGTTCAGAGTCTGACCTGGCCCTTAGCCATGAGATATGCTGCTATGGCCATGTGTTGGAACAGGATGGCCAGGTGGAGCGCCCGGTAACCCTCTCCGTCTGTGATGGAGGGATCTGCTCCATATCTCATCAGCTGGATCACCATGGGGAGGTGACCCTGTCTGATCACAGAAGTATAAAACAACCCTTCACTTACACAATAGTGCTTGGTTTTCACAGCTAACAAGTGATGGTGGAAACACACAAGTGATCCATAAATAAATGAAGGTTGGAATACACTTGAATCACATCCCTGGTCTCACCTTATGGCCCAGTGGAGAGGACTAGAGTTTAGGTCTCCTCCTAGCTGATCAATAATCGCCCCTTTGGAAATGTAATACCTGAGAAAAAATACACAAAGGTAATTATGCTCATTTAGGAGAGATCAGGGCAATAGATCACGAGGAATCAGGACAATCTGACAAGCAGAAAGATGGTATCTATAGTAGGGTTGGGCGATGGAATGAATGAATCGACCATTGGCGATGTTTTTTACAGGAGGGTATTTGTTTATTTGTTTGTTATTGATGAATATTTTACACTCTGCGCACAGAGAACATTGCAGAGGTAATATTCAAGAAAAGATCTCCAACAATGCATCTGAGCCTTTTCTCACCTCCTCCGCCTCTGGCTGCTGGCAGTGCACGCGCAAGCGGCAAGCTAAGGAGGGGTTTGGAGAGCGTCGGTGACGCACTCGACATCGTGCACTACAACGCGGCGTTGAGTGGAAAGTAGAAACCCTTCTATCTTTCAGAGTCTGGAAGACTTCTGGGGTCTCATTTATCAAACATTGCGTAGAATCCTTACTAAAACCGTACTTAAGCTCAGCAAAAAAAAAAAAAAGTACTTACGCCAAGTAGGTTTGTGATCTATCCAACATGGAGTACGCACAGCTGCACTCAATCTCCGCTTCATAAATCGAAGACTAACGAGAATGTTTCTCAGCTGCTTTCTAGTCACATCCCGCCCTCACCACGCCCACTTACTGCCATAAATAGTCAATGCGAAGTGCCTTGTGGATCTCATGCATATACATAAGCCGGCTGTTGCAGCGCTCCGCCAATGACGATGGCGACCGTAGATCAAGGTAATCAAGGAAGTGCAATTTCACATAAGCAGAACCTGAGGTACTTGCGGGTGAGGTGGAGAAATGAAAGGAAGTGCTTTTGCAAAACAAATAAGAGAAAATCCACGGAGTGGCACAGCGTTGCTGAAGCCGTCAATGTTGTGAATTCTTCAGAGAGATCTGTGGCGGATATGAAAAAAATGTCCAATCGGGATTCGATCCCCAGACTCCCAGGTGAAAGTCACACGTGCGCTAACCAGTCAGCCAAACAGAGATCTCCCCTGTGTTACTAGCCAGGGCGCATGATCAATTGGGCCACAGTGACAGGACACACACACTGTCACAGACGCATGACATTCTGTCTCGATCCTGGAAATTTTCTAAGTGTTACTTTGGATCACCAGTGTGCGAAAATATTTTCTAAGTGTTGAACTGTCCCCCTGCTGATATTCTGCATTCCATATTCTGCACTTCAGGGTGTGTGTGTGTGCGCGCGTGTGCGTGTGTGTGTGTGTGTGTGGGAGGGGGGGGTCCTGTGTGAAAACGAAGCAGTACAAGTGATAATGCTTCAGGATTTCATAATTGTATCCTTCTCTGCAGCAGCACTGCAGGTGCTCTCCATGTCCAAAATGTACGTAAGCCAGGTCCTTAGTCAGCTTAAAGTTGTGCACATTTTTCCGCTAAGTTTTCTTTCATAAATCCCAAAGTTTGCGTGGAAAGTTGCTTACGCAGTTTTCCCGACCCCGCTTTGTGCGTAAGCAAGCTTTATAAATGAGACCCCTGGTTATTTCATTAGGAGAAATGTTTAAAATTTAAAACTTTGGCTGAAGTAGCGCTCGTCGTTATTCAGCACCTGCTTTGAGTGTGTCAGCAGAGCACGGATCCATCCAGAACATGTAAACAGCCATGAGTCTGTCTGAGGCACAAGTCTAGAAGCTCATAACCTCTTTAGCAAGCTCCCTGGAGACATTTGACTACACACAAGCTGCAGGTGACCAGTTCAGGTTTACGCGGCGCAGGAGGAATGTGCGTTCGAGCCGCAGCAGGTGAAATGTTCCTAATTTAAGTTAAATCGTTTAATTGCATTGTTCATGTTACTAGGGCATTCTGATGAGCCTGGTTGGACTAAATATTAATTAAAATGAATGGAAATTTAACAAATGATATTTCTTTATTTAAAAAATGAAAGTGACTGTGATAAATGGATCATGCGACCTTCGGGCAGCGAGCAAATGCTGCCTCCTCAGAGTGCGTCCGAACGCAGCAGCGAATCATTCCATCTCCTACTTATAAAAGAAGTTTTTGTTCAGAAAGAAACATTTTGCTTAAATAAAATACCACAACAGTGGGCACCAGTTGTTTTTTTAAACATTTTAACCGTGTTTAATATGGGCTGTTTATACGTCACTCTACCAAACCACAAATACAAAACTAAACAAAAAGAAAAATAAATTTCTCTTCCAGCAAACTTTGGTGTTGCGCTTGTATATAAAAAGTATTCTATGTTTTGGGCTTCTTCTGTGTTCGCAAATCAGTCCACGCGTCATGACGTCACATGCACAAATAAATCGTCCATAGTCTTTTTTTGGACTGACTGGCGGTGGGGAAAATTATTCAAATCGCCCAACCCTCCTTCGCTTCATGAGACAGTTGTACAAAAACACAGCAGCTCTACTTTTGAAACACATCTGAAGAAAAGACAAGGTCACTTGTAATAAAAGGAGCTGAAAAAGAAGGAATTTTAGAATCAGGTCGATACTGCAGTACATGTGTCCATGTGAACATTATGTGATTACAGGAAATCTGCATTTTCTGCTGTGGAGTGTTTGTGGTGTTTGCAAAACAGGATTCATGCTGTGACTGTGGTTTGTCAGCTACACTCAGAGATAACATCGGCAGCTTTTACTTGACCAGCTCGGAGCGGTTGTTGATGGCGGCCCAGTGAAGCAGACTGACGTTCTCCTTGTCTGGCTGCCTGACGTCATATCCTGCTTCCACCAGCTCCTTACAGCGCTCCAGGATCCCGAACCTGGGAAGACCGCACACAGCAAAATACTCACACAATGTTTTAGTTCAGTTACAAGCCACTGTAAATATAAACGTTACAGTGGGTGTTTCCAATCATTTCCGACGAGTTAAAATGTGAGTTTTTTCCTGTATTATTGACACATGGTGGGATAAACGGAGCCAAGAGGAGCTCTTGGGAGTATTTTCTTCTTTCCTCTTGCAAGAAAAATGACCTTTGTTCTAGTGCACCTCAACTCTGATCTGAAAAAGCAGCTTGGACTATTACCTGAAACTCCTAAATACTGATCTGAGAACTGTTTGTCTCAATGCGCTTAGACAGCCGTACTGAACGGTAGACTGCTGCTCTCTTCCTTCTGGTTAAACACAGATTTTTAACAGCTTTTTTATTCAGAGCTATATATACATGCACAACTTCTGCACCCAGTAAAACAAGCAACATTAACTGGGATGCTAGCATGCACTTCTGAACCACCATTCCACACAGACAAACCCCGGGAACATTATCCTTGGACGTTCCACCTCTACAAGCGTGGGTGGAGATAATGATCTTATCAGAAATTTGACTTGAGGTGATATTTTAGCCTCTTACTGTGTTGCCTTTATGATGTCCCAGCTACTGCTGTCATCCATTAGTGACCGTTTCTTTGGCTGCTGATTTATGTCCATAGTCTGATCAGAGTTTTTGGCCAGCTGCCCGTAAGCAGGCATGTACAGGTTAGCCATCCCACCAAAGGCTGCCGCTCTGGGACCATGACTGTGAGAGTGGCCTGGATGACCATGGTGGCAGTCATCGTGCATGTGGTCCTGCAACAGAAACCAAAGGAAAAGAAACAGGTTTGCTTTAAGGTGCTGAACCAGGAAATGGAGGTAGACCACTGTAGCTAATACCACAGCTGAACCCTCAGAAATCAAGTTAAACAATAGCCAAAATACCACAGTTTTTTTTTATTGTTTATTATTGTTTTAGGCAATAAAACACATTTGCCCAGATACCAGCAAACTCTAGACTCTACACAGGATCAAGCATGTCCACAACACTTATGGATGTATAGTTAAAGAGGAAGACATCCCCCGACCAAAGTCTTACTCCACTGACGCTTCCGGTTTTTAAGATGCACTAAAATGAGAGAGCGCCTTGCAGACCAAAAGGGTGGCACTGACTGACAGCACCCCTCCAGGATTTTATGTTGGAGAAATGAGCCACTAAAACACACACCCACACACACACCCTGCTTGGACCAAGAAATAGCTGAGGGTTTCCTATTCTGACAGATTTATCTCTAAATAAATTATCATGGTTCTAAAAGTCCATGTTAGAGCACTGGTAACATTAGCTGCTGCCTATTTGCACAGGCATGTCTCATAGCCCATTAATAATAATAAAAATATGCACAATGGTTCAGTTTAGTCCATCAATAACTTTTCTGCTTCTGGGGTCACCAACTCCAGTATTTGATGACTACCATCCTGCAAGTTCTACATGTTACCTGTTTGAACAAATCTAAATCAAGTTCTTTAATCACCTCCTTATGACATCAAACTCTGCAGAGGCTTGTTAATAACTCATTCATTTAGTTCCAAGTGTGTGAGTGAGGAAGTAGCTATAATTCGCAGCACTGTAGTCATCAACAACAGGAGATGGCTCTGATCTGCAGTCAAGCCAAGAAATCAGAAGATCAAGTCCAGATTACAACGTCACTTTATAGTTATGACTAAATAGTATCCAGGGGAAAAAAGACTTTCTATTTTAAATCATGTTTAAAGATCTTTGTTTGGTTAAGGACTCTGAATTTCTGTCTAATATGTGAACCGGATACCCAAAAGAACAGAAATCACCTGGAAAAGTGTTTCAAACAACCAAATCTAATCCCATTCCCCCTGCTCGACTGCCTGCTCTGGGGAAGATTGATTGTAAATTGAACTACTTAACCTTCAGTAACAGGTAGCTGTAAAATATGACTTACTGTGTAGAAGTCATAAAGTTTAGCAATAGCCAATTATTTGTCAAAACAATCCATACTTAGCTGATCACGGAAACCTCAGAAACGGGCCTTTAATGCAAACACCGCTCGGTAGTTTAGCATAGAGGTGGAGTTGCTACTCAGAAAAAACTAACTTTAGAAATAACACTATTTCATATTTGCAACAATTTAATGATAAAGAAAAAAACGCACCTGCACCACTTAGGAGGAATGGATTCATTGTGTGAAGAATTATTGGCAGATTAAAATCCTGGTAAAATCTTAATCCAGTTTGAACACAATAAACCGGTTAAATTAAAGTTTAATTTAAATTAAGGGTTTCTTCTCAATGGAAGTCTGAATGCTCACAAATAGCTAATTTAATTATTTTTTTTTTACAAATGGCTAATTAACTTGCATACAAGAGAGAGACTTAAATTAATTCAACACCGGAGAAGTAGTGAGAGGGTTATTTAGATTAGAGAGAGCGAAAACGCTCAAACGGTTAAACAGCCTCAACAAGCTGTCAGAGAAAAACACCCAAACGTGGACGACGTTGGTTTCACAAGGAAACATGCTAAACGAGACCGCTAAGGTCTGGTTAGCTGGCCTTGCTCGGTATCAGGTAACTAGGAGTAGCTTAACTAGGTTACGGTAGAAATAACTCAGCGAAGGTACATTTTCCTAGTTTATCAATCAGTTCTAACAGGTTTTTCTGCGTGATGTAGAAACTAGATAAAAGAACCGTAGCTTGTTGATGCTAGCAATGTGATACATAACGGCATTAGAACAAAGTACGCGAATTAAGTTTCATACCGAAGAGCCACAAATGTACAACTACAATAAACGAAACGGAGAATGAACATTTAGCCACTTACACCGCCGTCTCCGTTCCAGTCCATGTTGATGAGCAGGAAGGAACGTTTCTGCAGCTGAACTGGATGACCGATTCAACTTCCTTTATGGGGTTTTCAAAATAAAAGGTAAAACCTTTTTGTCCCTAAAAGGTGAAATAAGCTGACATTTGCTGGAGTCATTTATATTGCTTACATGTGCAGTTATTTTATTACACACACACACACACACACACATATATATATATATATATATATATATATATATATATATATATATATATATATATATATATATATATATGTGGCAAGGTGGATAAACGAGGGCCCGGGCAGGATTCGATCCCCAGATTCCTGGGTGAGAGTCATACGCTCTAACCAGTCAGCCAAAGGGACATCCCCTTGGCCAAGTAGCCAGGGCGCATGATCAATCGGGACATTTGACAGGATGCTCACACTGTCACATATATTTATATATAAATGAATAAATTATATGTCAATGATTAATTCTGACACTCTGACTTTCCCATCATGATGGTGGACTCATGTCACTTCCTGGGCACCACCATCACCCAAAACCTCAAGTGGGAGCCCACCATCACCTCCTCATAAAAAAAGGCCCAACAGAGGATGTACTTCCTAAAACCTGCCAGTACAGTCGATGAGGCAGTTCTACAGTGCAGCCATCAAGTCCATCCTCGCCTCCTCAGTCACCGTGTGGTGTGCTGGAGCCACCAACAGGGACAAAAAGAGGCTGCAGAGTGTTGTACGCTCTGCTGAGAAGGTCATTGGCTGCCAACTCCCCTCCTTAAAGGTCTTGTACACCTCCAGGACATTGAGGCATGCTGGTCGGATTACAGCCATGTCACCCTGGACACAGTCTTCTCGACTATCTCCCATCTGGCAGGAGGGTCAAATCCATTCAGACCAGAACCTCTTGCCACAAGAACAGTTTCTTCCCCTCTGCTGTTGGACTCATGAATGACAATCCTAGGGCTGCCCACTAGTCACTTGGTTCCAATCATGACCCGTGCTGTATATAGTAGCCACTTCTCTAATTACTGCCACTTTAAATTAATTATTTTATCATGAGTATATTATTTCCTATATTTGTTTATCTCTTATTTTTATCTTCTTTTGCACGTACCATTTTCTAATGTTGTGATTTCTTGCATATATGGCAACAAACCTTCTAATTCCATGGTTTTTATCCACATTATCATTTAAAAATGTAAGCAGTCTTATTCACATTTACAGGTATTTTTAAAAGTATTGATTTTATGTCATTTGTACTTTTTAAATTCTAGTTTGAAATCTGCCGTTTTATTTAGAAGGGTTAAAACTAAACAGGAAGTCGCCTTTTCTGGCTCGTTCTCTCGTCCTAACCGCACACAGGCCACACTATTTTACACTGCTGTAAACATATCCTGTTATATATAATGTTGTTTTGTATTAGTGTAAGTTACTCACTTTATCCTTGTTTTTGCGTTTTAATGTTGAAAATAAGTCTAACATCAAAGTCCATGATTCATGTCTAACCTACAATCATTTTATTGTCATTGTTGTAAATGTTTTACTTTAATGAAATTGAGTCTTTGCTGCAGTCCCTAAAATGAAGCCATCAACACATCCATGTTTCCACTCGTAGTTTGCGTCCATGTGCAGCAGCAGGACTCAGGTAGGCTGGTGTAGTTTAGCTGTTGACCAGATAGAGGCGCTGCAGAAGCTTCAAAGCAGTCCTCTTTCAGGGGTCAGGGTTTTTAGCTCATGTAAAGCGTTCAGTTATTATTTTAAAAAAATTCTCAACACAAGTAACAAATAAATGAGGAAAAATCAAATAAAAAGGATGAATGAAAGGAAAAGATGGGGGGAGTTCACCAAAATAAACAATAAAGGATGTTCAAGAATCTGCTTTTCTAGATCTGCAGAAAGGGAGAGAGAGAAAAAAGGGGACACACAAAGTTACAACTGAACCAGAATATCACTAAGCAACCAGTTCTGATGGATGGTTTCTCATGTTCTTGTCATCCAGACTTTGTTCTAGTTGTTCTTTCTCACCCTTGAATTACACTAACACTCATTTATTTCAATTGCTATGTATAGGAAATATATTGTACATATTGTTAATTAAAAGGGCTGAGTAGTACTTTCTGGTTCTCTGTCATATATCCATCCAAAATCCAGCACCCTGAGACTGTACACTAGTCGTAAGGAAGGAGGGAGAGGACTAGTGAGTGTGAGAGCCACCGTCCAGGATGAAACATCCAAGATCCATAAGTACATCAAGGACAAGGCCCCAACAGATAACATGCTCAGTGAATGTCTCGGACACTCATTATGGCTGCACAGGAACAGGTCCTGAACACCAGAATAACAGAGGCCAAGATCTGCCAGACATGATCCAAGGTGTAGGGTATGCAAAGAGGCCCCTGAGACAATCCACCACATAGCTGCATGATGTATGAGGCTGGCAGGGAAAGCAGACATGGAACGTTACAACCAAGTGGCTCGCATCGTGTACAGGAACATCTGTGCAGAGTATGGACTGGAAGCCCCAAGGTCAACACCCCCTAAGGTGGTTGAGAACGAGAGAGCCAAGCTCCTGTGGGACGTTCAGATCCAGACTGACAAAATGGTGACGATGAACCAACTGGACATTGTGGTGGTGGACAAACAACAGAGGACAGCCTTTGTGGTGTATGTGGCAATACCAAGTGATGGTAACATCACGAAAAAGGAACACGAGACACTAGAGAAGTACCAGGGCCTCAAAGAAGAACTTGAGAAGCCCGGAGAGTGAAGATATCAGTGGTGCTCGTGGTCATTGGGGCACTCGAGGCAGTAACCTCAAACTGGAGGAGAGGCTAAAGTAGATCCCAGGAACACCATCAGACATCTCAGTCCAGAAACGCGCAGTTCTAGGAATAGCTAAGATACTGCACAGCACCCTCAAACTCCCAGGCCTCTGGTAGAGGACCCAAGCTTGGAAGGATGAGACCACCTGCAGAGGGTGAGACTTTGAAAATGTGGGTGCAATTTTAATTGTCAAAAACTCCAGCGAACCAACCAATGTCTACCTTGGTAGTTGAAACCTCCCCCTCGCGTTGCCTCGGTCCAAACCTGACCAATGACGAGGCAGCTCCCACTGTTCGATTCATAGAGCCGGCTTTTAGAGTGACTGGCACATCACTAACGTGTTAGCTAGCAAATGGTTAAGGTTAGGATAGGGGTGAGGGGAAGGTTAAATAACAAGAGGATAAGGTTAGGGTGAGGTACAATGAGCTTGTTTGGTGCCCTGCTGCGGATATCCCATTGCGTCAGTTTTACGCTACATTGGGATCTGCAGTCATAAAAGGGAAAAAACCCTTTTCGCACATAAGTGACAAAAAAGGGCACTTTTGGCGTCAGGGGTCTGATGTGGAGGGTGGCTGACCAAGCGTTTGTTTTTGATGCACTGGGAGTGAGACTGTGTTGGCATAAAACAACAAAACAAACCAAAACAAACTAAACAACAAACAAAAAAGCCATAATCCGTGTAAAGAAAATTGAAAATTAACACAAAAAGTGATTTACATCACCTAGGAGTAACAGGAGAAATTGTAGGAAAAGAACTGTAGCAAAAATTGTAATCTAATGAAATCAAAAAGAATCAACCCATCTGGGGAAAAGGGTGAGCTTGTCAGCATCCCCAAGCTCATATCAAAAAATAAAAATATAGTAAACGTTTTTTTTCCCTAAAAAAAACAACTGAGGGCGTTCTCAGATACACACAACCCTAATTAGTTTAGAGGTCAAGCAGAGGAGTGTGATTATGAATAACTAAAGTATTTATAGTAATAAAACAACAAAAAAATAAACAAAGTAAAAGACTGACAAACGTAAAAACTACTAGATACATATGTAATCAGGTCACTCTCAAATGATAATTATTATTCTCATTTTTCTCTCTTGTGCTATCTCACTTTAAGGTTACCCTGCAAGTACAACACGTCAGCGGTTACCAAAATACCTGCGAAACATGTTTTCCATCAATCCTCTGATGATTTTCAGATCATTTCCCCATTTGCTGGATTTACGTTTCCATCAATGTACCATCTTCATTCAAAAGGTGTTTGTGAGTTCTTATTCCCCCATACATAGATACCACACATACAAAGCAATCCATACACTCTCTCATTTATCCAAACAACAGTTAAAGCAGACAACATCTAAGACAAAACAATCAATAACTAGAATTGCATTTCTATTCAAGGCAAAACACCCAAAAACCCAAGCCAAAACAGAGTTGCGTTTATACTTCCGACAAAAATGCCCAAAAACCAATTTAACCTCTGTTATCACACCGGTCCACTTATTTAACATTTATTACTTTATCACACCAGGGTTGCGTTTATATTTAGGCAAAAATGCCCCCAAAAAAAACCAAAACAGCATTTCCAGAATCTGTTTATCTTTCTCTCTGCCAAAACAGCATTCCAGGAATCTGTTTGCGTTTATATTTTTCAGCTAAAACGCCCAAAAACCAATGTAACCCCTGGTCACCTAGGATTTTCTCTCAGTACCACAAGTCAAAACGACAAAAAACAAACTTGTCTCACCAAATCTCTCCACACCAGGGCTTGAGTTTGTGGATCTGCATTCCTCCTAGCAACGTCAATACCTCACCGACCCCCCAGCAAAACTCAGCACTGGAGGAGATTTAGGTTGTCGACATTTCTCCGGCATCGGTTCTTGGTGCTGCAAGCAAGGTGATGGGACCCCGGCTTTCGAAGGACCAAATAATGTCATGGATTTTATCAATATGTTTATCAATAACCCATTTCCTGTAGTCGAAGAGAAAAAGGCGACAATGAACAGACAAGTCAAACAGTTATAACTGTGGCATAATGCACGAGGCAAAATGCCCTGAACATCTGGTCACAGAGTTTATTTATACCAAAAGAAAAGAAAGGAACGAAAGTGTGTGTGTGTGTGTGTGTGTGTGTGTGTGTGTGTGTGTGTGTGTGTGTGTGAGTGAGAGAGAGAGAGAGAGAGAGAGAGAGAGAGAGAGAGGGAAGTCAAGAATGTGTGTGTGTGTGGCTTAGAGCCATAGTGTGGGTGTGTCTGAAGAAGTGGGCATGCAAAGT